GCGCCCCGCCGCCCTGGGGGCGCCCGGCGACCATCCCGCCTGGGGGGCCCCCCAAAGTTGGCGCTGCGGACCGGGCCCGGCGGAGCCCCCGCGTCCCCGAAGGGCCCGGCCGGGAGCGCAGACCAGGAAGTCGCGCCGTCCCCTGCGCTCCTTCAAAGTGGCGGCCACCCCTCCCGGTGGAGGCAACAGGTGACCGGCTGAGACCGGTCCAGGGCGCCCCTCTCCTCCCCACCCTCCCCTCCGTCCTCAGCCCACGGGAGGCCATGCAGGGGCTGCCCCTAATGTGCCCTGCTGCTTTTGTGTCTCCGCAGAGAAGGTGTTCGCTAGCCTCCCCCAGGTGGAGAGGGGCGTCTCCAAAATCATCGGCGGCGACCCCAAGGGCAACAATTTTCTTTACACCAATGGAAAGTGCGTCATCCTTAGGAACATCGACGTGAGTATCCCCTTCCCCCCATCAGGCACCGGTTCCGTCCCTGCGGGCAGCCCTTAGGTTAATTCTCCTTCCCCTTCCTCCTCCTCCTCTCCCGCCCGGTGGCCTGGGGAGGGTGAGGACGCCACGCCCCCTCAGCCTTGGGACCACACCTAGCCCAGGAAGAAGGTTTGAAGTTAATCCAGGCCCAATTCTCTTTCTTCATGGGGAAACTGAGGCTCAGATTAGTCCAGTCCTTAAGAATAAGGGCTCTGGATTTGAGGGATCAGACAGACCCGGTCAGCTGCTGCTTGACCTTGGGGTGGTTGGTCGCTTGGGCCTCTCTCAGCCCCAGTTTCCTCATCTGTGAAAGGGAGATGATGAGATGAGGCTCCCCTGCCACTTCCTCTGGCTGCCTGAGCCCACTGAATGAGATGATGTGTCCCTCCAGCCCAGCAAGCCTGGCACTCACCCAGCACTTGGTAAATGGCACTTATGTTTCATCATTATTAGCACCCAGGGTCTCCCAGTGTGGCAGAGCCTGAACTCACGCCCAGGCCTCAGCACTCCAGCCTGATAGTCTCCCTACTGATCGGAGCCCCAGTGCAAAATCAGGAAGGAGTTTATTCCCATGAATCATTCACACAGGCATCCTGTACCCAGGCTGAGAATGCTTCTAGAGCCAGTTCTTTGGGAAATCCTCGCAAATTCCTGTTACTCCTCTGTAATTATTGAAACGATCCAGTCTGCTTGTCAATCTCCCCACTGCCGGGATTGCACACTGAAATCTTTCTCTCCCATTCTTCAGCCTGAGTGATGGAATGGGGGATGGAGTGGAGGTACCAGCACAGCCTTTGGAGGGGGGGCTCTCCTGAGCCCTGCTTGCGGATGGGCCTTGCCTACAGTGTGTAGGTGGGTGATTTTGATTGGCGATGCTCCCAGGGGATGTCAGCCTAAATTCACAGCTATTGTGAGTGATTACCCTTGGTGGGTTAGGATTGTCACTGATCAGACACACTTCCCCTCAGGAACCTCACAGCTGGCTGAGGGAGTGAAAGGGCTCTGTGGGCCTCTGCTTCCTCGTGTGTAAGAGGAGAGGCTTCTGTGTGGGCTGAGGTGCTGCTGGCTCTGCCTCCATCTCTCTGGTTAAGCCAGCTAGTTGCTCTTGTTCCTCTGCTGGAAGACGGCGCTTCCTTTGGCAGTTTCTGCTCTGCCCAGGATTGCTGGGCACCTCAAATGAGGGGACGGGTGGGTGTGAATGTGCTTTGAAGGTGTTAACAGCTACTCTGCTAGTCACACGGATTCCTAGAAAGCAGATCCGGCCTCGCTCAGAACTGGGGGAAGCATCGCCAAGGACTTAGATCATAATGATCCGAGGTCTTCTGTGTGAGGTCCTGCGATTTTGAGAAAATAAGAGTTGAGATGCCCATGAGTAGATACCCCTTTATTAGTCTGGCAAGTAAAATGCACTGAAGCATTCTCAGGGATGCAGGGCAGTGGGTACTTGGGTTTGCCCTTAACAGGCATGCATGTCACGGCAGTCTATGTTTGCTCCAGATGGGAGACCTCATGTGAGGTAGCTGCTATGTGTCTGGGGTTGTGAAAGGTTCTTAAACCACAGCAACTCCTTCGACCCCCACAGTGAGCCCATTGCTCTGCAGAGGGTCAGGGGTGAAGGAGCCAGTAACCAGAGCTGCTTCCAATGGAAAAGGTGTTCACAGCCACAGACAAGCTCTGCCTTTGTAGAAAGCATTCTCTGACTTTGAAACCCTTTCTGCTTGTTCCTTCTGAGATCTTTATTTTTACCAGTACCCTAGAGTCGACCATTCTTTTTTGAGAGTGCATCTGCTTTCCCTTCCCATCTATATTTAAGTGTCTGCACTGCCAGGACAGCATGGGATGCTGCTAATGTGTCCTTCCTGTCAGTTTTATTGGTGAACCATTAATACTCAAACAAAGTTGGGTACCATCTTTATTAGGGCAGAATACGCCTGGGAAAGTGAGACAAGTCCTCATGAACATTCAGGGTGTAGGAAGGAAAACGGTCTGGTTAGGATACAGGCTCAGAGAGTAGAGTAAGAGGCAGGAAAGGGAGGCTGGGATCAGATGGTGGAATGACCAACAGGTATCTGATTGGCATCCCAGACCCACACCAAATTTGGGATCCCCCTGAGTCTCCCCCATTCCTCCAGCTGTTCGGGCCCCAAACCTTGGACTTCTACTTAACTCCCCCCTTCTCTTCCATGCTGTATGTCATTCTTCAGCAAATTCTGTTGACTCTACATTTAAAATATCTTTAGAATCAGACAAATTTTCACCATTTCCTGTTTCCGTCCTCATCCACATTACCATCCTCTCGCCTGGATTGCAAAAAAGCCTCGAACTGGTCTCCCCGCTTCCACCCTGGCTCTCCTCCAGTCTCCTCTCAACACCACGGCTGGACTGGTTATGTTAAAATCGGAGATCAGGTTACTCCTTTGCTCTCCCTTACCATGGCTGATAGGGCCTCACCGGCTAGCCTTGCACCTTGGATCTCACCTCGCAGCCCCCCTTCCCTCACTCAGCTCCAGGCACACTTGCTCCCGTGTCTTTTCTGGAACATGCCACATATCTGTCTCAGGACCTGGGGGTTGCAGTGGCCTTTGCCTGGATATTCTTTCCTCAAATAGCTGCACGGCTTGCTCCCCATCTTCCTTGGGGTTTCTGTTTAGGTGTCACCGTATCAGAGGGGCTTCCCCTAAGCTACATTCGCATCCTGGCCTTCTCTACCCCTCGGTGCTAACATGGAGCGAGCTGGCAAGCAGGCCACCGCAGCCTGCGAGTGCATGTGTGCTTCTGCCTGTCTTCCCGAATGAGACTGTAGCTCTGTGACAGCAGAGCTTTGTTATCCTGTTTCGTTCACTAATATGTCCTCGCCTAGAGGGCTGCCTGCCACGGAACAGGTGCTCAATGAGTTATTTGTTGATGGAAAGGTCTTGCGAGCTGGGCTGTGTCATGGAGGTAATAGGCAGCCGCTGAAGGTTTTACTGCATGGAAGTGAGAAAGGCTCGGCCTGCTTCAGGTTGCTGGACCTGAATTGTATGGCGTCCACCTTCTTTCAGACAAATCAGGCCTCGGTCCACTTGCTGACCTTCCACGTGGAGCCACCACTGTCATTCACTTTGTTGGCTTGAAGGCTGTTTGTGAACCCAGCATCATGGTACTTCTTAAGCTTGTAGAAAGGAGTTTCTTATCTATTCTCTTTCAACACATCTGATTGCCAGACCTTGGACAGGAAATGCTCCTCTGCAGAGTTAAAAAGCATGTGGTGATGTGGCCATCCAGAAATGAGTATTCCAGAAGGAGAGAACCTGATGTGTTCTTACCCGGAGGCCCACATCACCACTGCACACGGTGTAAAGACTGGGAGGGTTGCTTCTAGTGGCTGTGAAGGAACCTCTTCATGATTCTAAACCGCCCAGGATCACTTCCCTGGAAAACAGCTTTGGCAATGAGCTTCCCGGCAGAGGCCCCTTACAAGCTGCCAGGAGCAGCCAGCAGATTTGCTACAAGCGCACGTTTGGGGCTTGCTGTATAAACTATCCAATCCCCAGATTCCAGAACTAAAATATATATCTATTTGATAAAATCATGTATATAAAGTTAAAATTCCAGGCAGTGAAGTGTTCGTAGCGGTTTGACATTGCTGTGCTTCTAGGCACAGTACCAGTGGGCTCATCTCCTTGAGCAGGGGAGAGACCAGGTTGGGGGATGTGGAACTTGAGTGCTGGGTTTCGCAGAAGTGATCTGACAGTCATGTGCAGAAGGACCACCTGTGCGTCCCCTACAGGTGGGGGTGTGTGTGTACGTGAAGGGACAGATGGCCCGAGAAGGACTGACTTCGTCCCTTCTGTCCAGTTGCATATGCCTATGAGTCCCTGCTGTATGTCCAGGACGGCCACCAGCCCTGTGGGGAGCACAGATACAGATGCCCTGCCTGCACAGAGCTCGCTGACTTGGGTGGGGGTGAAACGAGCCGCCGGGCGATGGAAGGCAGTGGCGTGTTGGATTACCACCTGGACAGCACATGCGTGGGGTCTAGAGCCAGGAGAACACCCAGGGTCCTCTAGTCTGACCTTTAAGAAGTGAGGAGACGTCTCAGCAAAGGCCTTAGAGCTGCATGGTGCCCGAGTCAGGGGTAGGGGAGACTTCTTGGCTCTCGGGCTAGTGAACCTCAGGTGCTTTGGCTGTGACATCTTGGTGTCCCTCCCATTGCCAGTCACAGCAGGGGCTCCCTGAGTGTTAGCAGGCCCCGGGGAAGGCATTTCCATTTCTCTCCCCACCGCTCTTTTTTTCTCCTCCACCTCCTGTTCCCTAAGCTCCAGTCCACGCTGTTACACACACTTATCAAGCATCTGCTTTGAGGTGAAGCCCATGCCAGGCCCTGGAGACAGCCCAGCCAGGGGCATGTCCCCCCGGCGCTCGCAGTCTTGGGAACGGGACTGTCCTAAGGGGAAGCCAAGGTGCTGTGGGGCACTCACCACAGAAGGATCTGGGCAGCTGTGGCCCAAGGCGGGGGCCTGGAGGCTCTATGCTGCCAGTCAGGTGGAGCAGGGGCCGCGAGAAGGTCCCACAGAGGTTGCAGAGTTTCGGGGCCTGGAGAGATGGTTGTGGCTGGAGTGCTGGGCCTGAGAGGAATGGACGGAACAGGCAGGACAGGTGTGCAGGGCTCTGGTGGTGGGTGGTCAGGCAGCCCTGCAACAGAGCCGGCCCTGTTCTGGTGGTCATCAGAATGGTTACAAGGTTAGGCAGACGCGTAAGATGATCAACTCTGCAGTAGGGCAATTGTTCTGTATCTGGGATTTGAGGCAGGGAGAGCGATTAGGGAGCTGCTCCAAGATTAACACATTGCTCAGCAAGTGCTAATCAGCTGGGACAGCCCATCCGTGGTTCTTGATGTTTCCCACACACATTCACTAAACTCCCGTCCTGCTGAGCCCTGCCCATGGCCACTGTCCCCAAGATTTTAATCAGTGGTTCTCAGT